AGCGAGAGAGAATCCGAACAAAAAGTCGAAATCATATTAATTATTTCTGGGAAATTAATTTGCTTGGACTATGGCCGATCTCATTGACGGCCGATGACAACTTTTCGCTCATTAACGCGGCTCGGGTTACATTGTTTTTTCCCATTAACTAAATTAATTGCGACTTCGATGAGGAGAAAAACATTATTACCATTCGATGTCCACCCATCATCGTCGTTCACCGGCTAATCTCACAGCCTCATTTGAATTATAAATTCCTCTTTAATTAATTCTAGAAGCGGCGTTGCGGATGGACGTACCAAGTAGTAGTAGTAGTATTAACATTGTACGAAATTATATAAATTATCAAGCCATAATAATATTGATAATCGACAACGTTTAATACGCATATAATGTATTTAAATGTTGCCGGAGTTGAGATGAGTTCGAACGAGAGGATTTTAAAAATATACGTTTAATTTGATGAAGTGATATCCTGCAGCTCTTTTGATGCACGCAGTGCAGTATGTTTCTCAGGAAATACGATTTTTAATACTATCAACTGATGATAATAATTAACTTTATTGACCAACGTGCCATTACGCCAATGCCAATTTGTATATTCCACGCTCTAGGAGTAGTAATTAATGGATTAATACACATATTGGATAATATAATGAACACATCTGCATCCATATCAATGACATAATTTATTGAAAATTTTATTAACTTCATTTTTTATTCTATATTTTATTATAAAGATTCAAATTTTATACAAATGAAATCAATAAAATAATTCTAATTACAACTAAACCTCGCATAGTACGGGTAATCGGTTTTGAACTGTTTGAAACCGTACTGATCGAAGAACTAAAAAAATACTTCAGTTATTCAACATTTGAATTTACAATTTTCTTAAATAAATGATTCTGAACAACTAACATTATTTTTTAAGTCTAAGTGTTATATGGGATTAAATTAATGGTAAAAGTAAGGGGTGACCTGTGAGGAAATAATTAAGCACTCCAGTGAAAACTTCTCTAAGAAAAGGGAAAAATCTTTGTTATTAAGAAACTTATTGTTGGAGTAAAAGTTTCAACATCAAATACATATAAAGTTGAACGAATCTTTACGTGGTCTAGTTAAAAGTGAAACTTTTTAAACAAATAATATTATAACAATAAATTAAATACAATTTTATAAATTATTTCTTTATAAATCGATTTGATAAAATTTATTGACAAAAACAAATGGCAAAAAATACCACTTGAATCAAAAACTATATTTGAAAATTGTATATTCTAGAAAGTTAAGCAACAGTACTTGATTGATAGTAAAGTCATAATTAAAAAATGCATCAAAATAATAAGTTCATACATGAAATAGATGAAAATGTCTTAAAATAATAGAATTACTTAATTCTATAAATTTTAAATAGTATTGATTAGGTTTTGAAAATGAGTTTGTGTGTGAAATAAATAATTAGGGAAGTAAGGTTTTATATAATAGTAATGGTTTTGAAAGGGAAACGATTAAAATTAATGAAAATAAACCCGCTATACAAACAGAGAGGCACACAGACACAAACACGCATGCACAGACAGAAAATATTTCCATCCCATTTCATTTCTGAAGCAATCAATGTTAATGTGCTTAATCATTGTTTGTATTGGAGCGGCACAGCTCCAAAGAAAACCAATGCTTTGATATAATAGACTTTGAAAATATCGTTTGGGGTTTAGGTCTTACAAAGTATATTAAATCCATACACATTTAGGCGCATATGAAATTCTAGGATTTTCAAATGATTGGAGTCATTCGTCAAGGTGTTACCTGTTTACCTCTTAGATAGACCTTCCACCTCTCTGTCTCGCTCTCATCGAAACGCCGATCTTTCGCTCCACTTCGCATTCACCTCTCTCTGGTTAATTCCATTTAAAATCTTTGTATTTAAGGGCACCAGAAAGAGCCACTTTAATAATCCGCCGTTATCAAAACTGATTTTAATTCGTACCCGTTCATTGTCAGCTTACATCAAAGCGAGTTAGAATAACTTGGGCGACTTTGCACCCCTTCCCCCTTTCGTTCGCGTATTTAAATCGAAATTATAAATTCAAACGCACTTTGAGGCGAGCGAATCTTCAAAACCCTCAACCCTCTCGTTGTCTCTCTCACTCTTTTCCTCTGACACTCCCATTTTCAGCACAGAAATTTCATAATCGGACGCGGATTAAAATTAAAAAAACATTCATTTTGTTGTTCGCATTTGCACATCGTTTCCCACCCTCTCTCGACTCGCTTTATTTTCTCGATGCTCCACGTTTTCTTATTCTATGTAACCGCCTGTATTCTGCTGGCTTTTTGCGTGTCTGGGGTTCTGGCGGGGCGGGAGGAGTTGAAATGGGAATTTTATTGAATTACCATGCATAATTAAAAAGACGGCTGCTTTACAGGAAAACGCATTATCGATGTAACAAGACCTATATGACTTCAAGTTTAAGTTAATTTTCTATTTTATTGAAGACACTAATTTCATTTGTCTAAATATATATATAAGGGAAAATTGCAATTTACCATATCGTTTAATCATCCACATCCTCGCGAAATTTCCTCCTTCATATCAACAGAACCAATCCAATTTCACACGGAAAACACTACTGCCATATTTATTTTCGGCGATTTATAATTCAACACAATTGAATGTTTTATGAGCACCAGCAAACCCAATTTTCATATGAAAGATCCTCCACAGTTTCCTTATTAGCAATCAAACTTTTTATAACTTTTATAGTCCAAAATTAACAATAAATTATCTTCTCAACAATAAGACAAGAGCTTCCCAGTTTTTTTTTTAAATTTAAATAAGGCAATGAGATAACCTTAATTAAATAAAAAACTGAGTTATTTCTGCATAAAGTCTTTTAGTAAAACAATGTTTCAAAGATCAAATGTATGTCATAAGTCAAAAAGAAAATACTTTGAAATATAGATATTTCCAAGTAATTTCCTAAATTTTCTGGATTCAGGCACTTCTTAAAATTAAATGTAATTGATGAATATTACAGGTAAATATTACTTATGCTAACTTTATTTGTTTTTTTTTCTGCAATTGGTATCTTCACAGTTTATTTCTCAGAGCTCCGTTTTCAAATGATATTCTTCGTTACATGGTTTATTTCCATAAGGTTTTAAATTTTTAAATTTGCTGAAGTTCTGTAGTCTTGAATCCAAACTATTCTATTTGGTCTTCTTTGGATATTTCTTATATTAGTAAGAATACAGCGCTTCTCAAACTGTGGTTCGTAACACATTGGTTCTCACATTATAGTGTGTATGTGAGACTCATTCACACTAATTATTCAATTGGTATCATTACGATTACTTTCGTAAGTTGAAAAAAAACGTTGATTTTTATGCAACTTTGAAAAAACTTTTAATATATTTTGAATAAATTTTATTACGTCGCTATATAGACGCAGTAAATTGCGTATCTGTCCAATCTCCATAAAGACCGATTACAACAGAGCTATGTCGAAAAATTTAAATAATTTTGAGAAATGCATAATAAATACATTTTTAATATTCTTTATAAATAAAGCATGATTTCTTCGTATAATATGCGATGGACGAGTGAAGAGTGAAGTGATGGCAAGCATAAGAAAAAAAATAATAAGAATACAAAAAAAAAATACATATAGAAATGGAGGGGTAATAAAAAAGATTGTTGCTTTTAAATAATGCATGGGCTTTAAATGAATCGATCGATTTATTTGAGATAATAACTGTGATATCGGCAGAGGCCCAACTCACGGGCATCTAGAATTATATATAATTATGCATTTAGTCTTTAGAACCTCCATATCTTGGAACCTTTTTATATATCTATATATATATATAATATATAAAAGCCAACAACATCTGTGTCTGTGGTATAACATATACAAGATAGATTGATAAGCCATCTAGGATTCGTCACTTATTCTTCACTCGTCGTTCGATTTTCTTCATCCTCTTCATTTCTCTTCGTTTTATTTTTATTTTCCTTCTTCCTTCTCATCCTCTTGCTCGCTCTCTCGTTCCTCCTCGAAACCAATTTTATATTAAATATGAAATAAACCCCCGACGATTATGTCGGATAGTCTTCGAGAGAGATTCGTTCTCTCTTAATGACAGGTTATTTGCCGGTCGGATAATCGACGGGTGGATGGAAATATTATTATTTGAAGCCACTAGCGTCAACCTCTGCACCAATCTCAAACCTCTTTTTCTACCAATTCCATCGCTTCTTTCTGACATTTCAATACACCCACGCTCGCGGACTCTCACTCTTTCTATAATATAACTCTCCGAATACGTACACATACACACTCCCATCTCTATTTATCATCGAATTAATTACTAATTGACAGAATAATTGCTGTTACATAACGCGATATCATTCCGCGCCCGAGACACTTCATCATCTCCACATAATCAACTTAATCAACGCAGAATATTTATTAGTGTACAACGCACATCGACATTTTCCCAGTTATTCTTCTCATTAAACGTCTCCGCTTTAATTGTTACTCAATAATTTTACAAACAATCGATGATCACTTTCATACTCTCGCTTTAATTTGCAATTATTCCGGGCGCTCCTCAACTCAGGTAAGTCCGTTGCCAAAGACATGTAGTACATCTACATGATACAAAGGAATTTTCATCATCTTTCCCGCATTACTTACATACTGAACACCTCTCACATATGCTTACCTTTGGAAATTCAAGGTCTTCCAAAATTTAATACTACATTATATCTTTGTAATACGATAGATTTCACTCTTTATATAGAAATGCATTTTTTACAATCTGTTTCTGAATTTATCACAAAAATAAATTCCAGTAACAGTCCCTTATAAATTATGGTTTAAACAATATTATTTTCTGTGGATCATCTTTCTTAACGAATGAAAAAAAACTTTACACGTGTAAAATAATTACGCGAAGAAGGTAACTCGATTTGACATAATCGGAATGACTTATAACAAACGTCCCGCAGCCCATTCTCCATCTATATCTAAAGTATCCAATTGCAATTCCGCGTTCATGTCGGTAATGATTTTAAACAGAGTAGTTAGGATTTTGTTCCAGGCTAGAAGAACTTCACCGGAGGCGTTCAGCTTATTGGTTAGCAGCATAAGTATGCACTTCCTCATATCGTCGTAGGCCTTCACCGTGATCTTTCGTTTCTGGTGGGACATCGTGTGCTGGTAAAGGGTCTGCACCAGCATCTCGGGTTTATCAATGTACTCGGCAATGGTAGAAAATTGCCGCATCACTCGAAGACCGTGCAATGTTAGATCTGGGTACGCTCTGAGATCGGGAATCTCGTCGAATTTGATTCTTGAATAGTAGGATTTGTGCTCCGGAAACTTTTCGAAGAATATTATGAATAAGCAGACACCGTAGTAGCCAGGATTTGTTCGCAGAATTGTCCATGAATCTATGAACAGTTTCTTTTCTTCTGCTGATATTCCGAATGAATCGTTTTTCAGCTTCGAATACTCTTTTCCCATTATGGAATTATAATTAAGCACTTGTCATAATTTTGTCAAAGTTTTGGGTTAGGAATTAATTTAATTATTAGTATATACAGGATTTCTATGATTTATTTGAGAACATTACATTTATTGTTTATTTCTTTTAATACATGTTTTTGTATAAATATATTTCTGTATATATTTGTATTTTAATATATGTCTGTTGTGTTGAAATCTGTAAAACTTCAATATTTATCAGATTCAATGTTTTTTTGATGTAAATTAAATTATTATTCAATTAAAAACATATCGTTATATACACATATTTGCATAGAACTAGAAAAAATTGTTTCGATTGTGATCGTAGTGAATTTGATAAAACCGCTCGATAATGGAGTTATCCATTTGGTGATGTTGGCGTTGTATGCAGAGTGAGTTGTCAAAATTTTGTGAATAATTTATTGAAGGTTATTACGCAGAATAATTGCAAATTACCGCGATACGAAATGAGGTTTTTATTTGTCTGTGTAAAAGCTGCACGGATTGACAAATGCATCGATACCAACGCGTTTTAATTAATCCTTTGTAATTCCATCATACAGTCATAATTGTTCGATTTTATACGGACAGCAGATGCTTCGTTATTATGATCATTGGAAAAATGGACAAACGCGGTTTTTGTTGGTCGAACGAAGCCGGAATAAAACACGCAGCTTATTGAGGGCTCGAATGGATCACGACTAAACCACCCCACAATTGAACAAAAATATATTTAAACACACACATATAAAAGAAATGTTGCACGTGAGTTTAATTTAATTAATACGAGGGGATGGACAATCCCCATATCGGAATTGGATGCTGGGGGGAGAGTATCTCTTCGTCATTTGTTGTACCTGTGTGACATGTAACAAATTGCAATCGATAAGAGTGTGGAGTGCGGAGTTGCGCACAGTTCCAGATACAATCGGCATGAGCGGAAAAAAGACGAGGAATTGGAAAAATAAATAGTAGAACTGCCGACGGAATCAGCATCGTCCAATGGGGCGTCGGCGTCGCGACGCCGCTGCGTCCAATCCCACTCCGCGCGGCAATAAGATCCACATTTCTAGAAATTCCAACTGCGTGCCGACTGTTCCCATTGGCTCCCGGATTCCGCGAATCCCACCAATTTCTCTTATTGTCATTGTGGAGCTACGCAGGCCCCGGGTTGGTCCTGAAACACACCCAAAAATACACTAAAAGAAACAACAACGAATCAACCATCCCCCCAGTAACATTACCTCAAAGACAAACCAATCTCGTTCATTAAAGTTTCATTAAATTAATTTAACGTATAGCAAAAATTAAAAAAAGAAAACAAATACATTAAGCATATCAATGTATAGCATATTATGTAATATAATTAATTACTTTTATAGAACATATTTTTAAAGTAATTTTCTTAGAAGTTAATCCTAATATCTTGCTTTTATGATTAATAAATAAAAATATATTCCCTTCAATTTCACACGATCTGAATCTTCAATTTTATTCGCATCTGAATTATATGATTAAATATACTTTTTACAATTACATCATTACTATTTACTTTCTAAATGTTGGTGTTTTATATATATTTCAGCTTTTTTGGTGGTTTACTGCAGAAGTTTGAGTGCTTCTATCCAACATGAGAAAGGATATTTGGGTCTTTGCATGAGTCCGTTTGGTGAAGTTTTTCGCTCATTCTTTTCCTGCTCTTCGTGAAAAATGGAATAAATAAAATAAAAGTGTTTGGGAAGTATAGCAAAAGATTGATATACACATACAACGAGTGAGAGTGTGTATGTGTATGAGAGAGTGAGAGAGCAGGAGGAGTGTGCAAAGTTAAATAAAATACTTCTTGTCTTGGAGAATAGCTGCACATGAGCGGCTCCGGGTATCGACCGGGGCTCGCCCGGATGAGGACATTACCCGGAGCTCCCAATACTCAGCGCAATGCTACTCCAGGTCCTCATCCCCCCATCGCACCCCCACCGCCGACTCCGCCGCTGCCGCCGCCACCGAGCACTGCAAAACCCCCCATTTTCAGTATAGGAGCAAAAAAAGTGTCCCGAGATTTCTCCGAATCGAACCAATCCCTAGTCGAAAAATAAAACAGCCAAACCCCCTGAACGAAAAAGACAAACACTGCTTTCCACCCATTTCCGGCGAGGAAAGAAGAATAAGACGACGGAGGAAGCAGCGAAACAAAAGCGAACGGAAAGACAAAAAAAGAAGACGAAGAAGAGAACAGAATCTCTTCGGCTAATTCCTTGTTTGGGGATATGGAATTATAAGGGTGTGTCTGCAGGACGTGGGGGGAAACGACATGAAGCAGACTCCAAAGTGGAATATCAATAATGTGACCGTGCGATTGCCAAGACAGAGAGACCCTCTCTATCTCAACATGGCGGCTGCTGCTCCTGCTGCCGCCACCGTCGCCGCCGCTGTTGCTGCTGCTGCTTCTGCCTCTTCCACCACCATCGCCTTCTCCTCTTCCTCCACCACCACCTTCTCCTCTTTGTCTATCCTTGTAGTCCTCTTTCCTTTCCACGCAGGCTGGAAAGGCCAAGTACGAGAGCGCCGGGGAACGCGACAGGAATACACTTGTAATAAATAAACATATAAAACGTACGCGCATACACCACATCCGACGACGACCGCGATTTTACCTTACCCTGAACATTTTCAATTAAAATGCCACGAAAATTTGATAGCTAAAACTCGACAACCTCGCGTAACAAATTCAATTAATCATAAATATATCATTTGCGTAAAGAATTCCTACCACGAATTCCATCTATCCATTTATTTTTAATATTCTCATATAACGTTCAATATTTTCAATTATATTATATACTATACAATATTTCATTTAATTTTCATTCCATACAGACAAAAAATAACAAAATTAGAAATAAAGTATTTAGCATTGTATATGTTCAAGCAAAAGCTCCATCAGTACATATGAAAAATCACTAAATATTTTCTAAGATAAGATTAAATAAAGAAAGAAATAGCTACGGTCGACTGTATCACAAAGATCCGATACGAAGGGATGAAATCTCATGAGAATCTCAGAACCAAATAAAAAAAATCAAAAATAATTTTAGAGTTTTATAAGAAATATACTACAGTCTGATTATTAGTGACAACGTTTTTTTTTAACAATTTATACTACAAAATTCATATATTGAATTAAAGAACAGAAATTATACTAAAAAGTCTTCTATTCGTGAAAAGATCCCCGACTTACAAACTAGTTCGGGTTATTCGTAAGTCGAATTTGTTCATAAGTAGGCAGAATTTAAAAAAAATCAAAATATACTTATCTTAACACACTTTATCATGGTTTTTTACTTTCATATATGTTAAATTCCGTATGACTAATTTGAAAAAATAGATTAAAATAAACAAAATACTTAATCACAAATAGATCAATCTAAACATCATAATTATTTAATAAAAAACGGCAAAAGAAACAAATGCAACAAAATAGATAGTACATCTTCCAAAAATATTATATTTCATTAAAGAAATTATCAATTTTTGTTTGGACAGTTAATTTTTGTATCGCTATATATCTCCTTGTAACAACTTTAGAGATTTTAGAAATTTGTTTGTAAGTCCGGGAGTTCGTAAGTCGAGAGATACCTGTAGATTGGATTTTTGACACATGTTGATAAACTTTGAAAATCTGTCAAACATTAATTTTTCCGTTGATAATAACAGAGTAATTATATTAGTATATCTCAATATAGAATGGCGGTTCCGGTATAATCTGATTACATTTTTTGAAATAAATTAGGGCACAAAATTAGGAAACCGTTAACAGAATAAAACGCGATCGGTAATTATTATTTAAGTTTCATTAAAAAACGGTCGGACGTACAGCCTCGGCGTTTGTTCGTTAAATAAAATAATAATTTCATTATCGCCTGCGTATCTTTCGCATTATTATTTTTAATTCCGCCATTAAGTGCAGTTTAAAAATAATATTGCGTACATTTAGAATAGTGATTTTCGCTCATAATGATGTTAAAATTGTCGAACGAACAGAGAAAGAAAAAAAAAGAGAGGTATATTGACGGTAAATTGCGTCGATAACAGATTGAGAGCCTTGTCGCAAGCTGCTCAATTAAAGCTCGCCACTTGCTGAGGTTTTACAAGTTATTAATTTTGTATAAAGTACACGTATCTCTATTGAACATCAAATTTTAATATTGAAATTAGCAATTAAGAAATCTTTGGCGCTCTTAATGTTGTCTTAATAAATTTCGTAATAAGTATAATTTCATCGTTGAAGAAGTCGCAGAGGGGCGGACGGTGTCCTATCGTGGAGGAGAAAAAAAATAAGGTTAACCGATAAATGCAGCTGGTGCGGTTTTCTGGAAAAACGATGGAGAAGCACAGGAAATTGTAATTACATCACCATTAATTTTGATTAAACAACGAGAATGCTCGAATGCTCTGTTAGTTCGATCCGTTTGACCCCCATTTGATTAACACAATGCCTGAGATACTTGATATTTAATTTGTATGTTTTCTCCGTGCACACGCCACGCGTATTATTTCCACCCTTGAACAATCCACCAACCCCAGAAGCTATTTCAAAAACAATTGCAGTTCATTAGCTAATCAAGAAATTAAATATCAATATACACACACATTTGATCATCTATTTATATACCAACGCACTTATCCATTCTTGCATCTTATAATTACTTAACAACGTCTTTCTCAATATATACGTAAATTAAACTATAAATAACTTCAATAAAAGCAATAAATAAATCATTCCCAATTAATTTGTTTTGTCCTTATTTCAATTCTTAGTTAATTATAAATAGTAATTGCATACAATACTTGTATTTAATTTAAATAAAATTTAAGAAAATCTATTGAAATATGTCAAAAGTTTTATAATTATGGATCAATATTTGTGTGATTGTACTGAAGTTTCTAAATAACTTAATATATTAACGATTCATAACCGAAGATGCAAATCTTCTTAATTCAACTTAGACACAACAATATCGTTAATTACAATCTAAAACATAACACTAGATCATCCACGGTTTTTACTCGTTGGCATAATTTTAACATATAGTTTTATAATTAGCATATCATTTTTGTATCAAATTGTCTAATATATTGCTTCCTAACTGACCGTTAACAATGGACCGCATTCATTTGCATGCACAAAATGAATGTACTAGATTTTAAGATTTGTTACTATAATAAAAATACTATAAAATTTATAGTTACAAAGATTTTCATATTTATGTTTTTTTTCTTTGTACAATGTAAACAAGTTTTAAAAATGATGGAGCATCTTCTCATCGTCACTCGTTATGCGAATCGTCGCATAAATCTGAAATTTATGTGTATTATTTTTAATGCGTTCTAGTAATTAAAATAAAATTCAATTATAATTATTTCATTATGTTTTTTCCCCAATTTTTATAATATAAATTTTATTCAATTTAAACAAATCAAATTGTAATTAGATCTATGAAAAAAAATAATAATAGAAACAATTAACAAATTAATTGCTTTTATTATTGCAAAATTAAAAAATATTTATTTGTATGATAAAATCAAAATTAAAGTAAATGTAATTCCAAATGAATTGAATTTTATCATTTTCATGAATTTAATTTAAACTTTAGTAAATTTAGTATATATATATAAAGTTCCATAAATTAAATATAATTCAGAATTAATTTGGTAATCATACAATAGTAATTAATTTAATTTATTTATTATTTTGAGTTTAAGATAAACTGTATTATAAAATAATGTGTTCATTTGAATAAAAATATGACTCATGGGTGAATTATTCGTCTTTCTGGTATTTTTTTTCTCGTTTTGGCGTCTCGGGATATTTACTATATGCGAATTGTTTTCAACAAAAGGGGCGAATCCGACGTAAAATGGGAATAAATTTATGGTGGAAGATGTATAAATCTTTTGTTGGAATGTGAGATTTAGGTAAAAGCTTATGAAATATTCGTGCGGATATTACTCTATATATTATTAGTCCAATGTGTATGCGTACGTTGGCAAAGATATTTGTATGGAAAGGTTAGCATCTCAGACGGTTATATTGTCAGCGATTGGATAATATAAAGGCGATGCGAGAGAGGAAAGGAGAGAAGAGAAGACGAAAGAAAGGGGCAAAAGGGAGCAGGAGAAGGTTGAGGGTTGGAGGGGTTAGGCGCGCATTACATAAGCTCGCGGCAGCTTCCACAACGAGTGACAGCCACCCACGAAAACCACCCCCGAGGATTGATTTATCGTCCGTATTTGTGTGTTTCGTGTAAAAAAGGAGAAGAAGAAGAAAAAAATGGGAAGAAGGAAAACCTTGGTTAGGAAAGCGCTTTAAGATTGATATGCTGTGCCGCACCGAACTGGCGTTTCCTATTCCAAAACTCATCGATACACCCATACTCACATATACATACATACAGGAATACATTATAAATGCAGGCGGAAAATGTTCATTGGGAAAAGCCCAATGAAGAATGAACGGCCCAGGGAACGGCGACGAAACGATAATTGTATTTGAATAGACGAGAGGGGAAATAAATTGTGTTGCTGTTGTTTTTTTTTCTCTCGCCGAGTTTTATTTCTTTTATCGAAAACAACAGTCATTTCCACCGAAATGGAGTGTTAAATTTGTTACCGAAACGAAACAGCTTTTAATATTAACTCATGAAGCATTCGAATGTTCCAAATTGCTTTTAGCATCCATTTTCAGAACGTGTCATCTGTTTTACAGATAATAATTAATTATATCGCATTTTAAGCAATTCCTTATTAATCAATACCAACTTGTATTTTATTTTAAAATTAACTATTTTTACTAATTATAATAATAATTCACTGCAACAGACAAAAAATTAAATTGAACATTTTCAAACACAACAAAAATAATAAAACAACAAGATTAACTGCAAAGGGTATTTTTACTATTAATTTACAAAATAATTATTAGCCCTAACTTGAACCTAAAGGACACTATTTTTAATTAATAATAATAATGTTTATTATGCATCGTTCCAAAAAAAAACAGTAATAAACAAAATAAATATATATAATTTCAAAAAAAAAAGTCAACTGATACAAAGGACTATTGACCATAGGTCTTTCTGCCCGTACTTTGAATCATTATTAATAAATATTAGTTTTGCAATATTAAAAAGCCACCAAATTTAAAATATAAAAAATATAGACATAAGTGGATTGGTATATATTTAATATATATATATGAAATATAACTACTAATACATTTACTAATTTCAGTTATTACTTCAAGCACTTTTATGTAGAGTATTGGAGATTATTTGGTATCCCCGACTTACTAACTACTTTCTTCCAAAGTGTTGTTCGTAAGTGGGGGAATTTAAAAATTTCAAATATACTTATTTTACACACTTTATCATGTTACTTGTTGTAAGTCGGGGTAATTCAAAATATACTTCATGGCTTTATATGTAAATCCGTATTACTGACTGAAATATATTAAATAATTTTTACTTTATTTGTAAAATTACTACTGCATAAATATAAATATCTTACCACACTTTATCATGGTTTTTACTTTTATATATGTTAAATTCCGTATTACTGACTGCATAAATTTGAAAAAATGATTAAAATAAACAAAATACTTACAAATACTTTTCAATTGACATCATAATTATTTAATAAAAACGACAAAAGAAACAAATTCACCAAAACAGGAAGAGTACATTTTAAATCTTAGTAAATGTATTAGTAGTTATATGTCATATATATATTAAATATATACCAATCCACTTATGTCTATATTTTTTATATTTTAAATTATGTGGCTTTTTAATATTGCAAAACTAATATTTATTAATAATGATTAAAAGCACGGGCAGAAAGACCTATGGTCAATAGCCCTTTTTTTTAAATTATATATATTTATTTTGTTTATTACTGTATTTTTTTTTGAACGATGCATAATAAACATTATTATTATTAATTAAAAATAGTGTCCTTTAGGTTCAAGTTAGGGCTAATAATTATTTTGTAAATTAATAGTAAAAATACCCTTTGCAGTTAATCTTGTTGTTTTATTATTTTTGTTGTGTTTGAAAATGTTCAATTTAATTTTTTGTCTGTTGCAGTGAATTATTATTATAATTAGTAAAAATAGTTAATTTTAAAATAAAATACAAGTTGGTATTGATTAATAAGGAATTGCTTAAAATGCGATATAATTAATTATTATCTGTAAAACAGATGACACGTTCTGAAAATGGATGCTAAAAGCAAATATTACATTTTATTAAAGAAATTATCAATTTTTGTTTGGACAGTTCATTTTTTTATCACTATATATCTCCTTGTAACAAGTTAGAGATTTTAGAATTTTGTTCGTAAGTCCGGGAGATCGTAAGTCGTGGAATGCCTGTAAATATAAAATTTATAATTGATTATTTAAATGTTTTATTCTGTTGGAATTGTTGGTCGGGAGTTCGTAAGTCGGGGGATACCTGTATTACCTAATATTCATTAATATTTATGATTTTTCATTTGGTTTCTATTTACATAATAATTAAAAGATATGAGGTGTGTGTCAATAGTTTTGGATAAAATATTCACCAAAATATGCTATGATTATGTAAACTTAAATTGAAGAATGACGAACTTTAAGAGAATAACATATTTTCATCTTTTTAAGAAACGTACGTATGATTCATAAACAAATTAAAAATATGTTATTTCCTAAAATACTATCTGTGTAATGTTTATTGTTAAAAATAACACACATAAATTATAATAGTAGTAATTTTATTCAAGAAAATAAAATTTGAAGTACAAACTTGAAATATAATTATTTTTAATATAGGTGACGCCACCTCTTGGTAAATCTTTGTAACCTAAACAGGAATCCTTACAGATTTCTCAAGTACAACTTGAAGAATGTCAAATGCCAACCAAATGCCAG